ATGAAAAAATATTGCCGTAAACAGTTTATTTTGCGACACCACGAAACAAACGATAGCGTAAAATGAAACGATAGACGTTTTTATATCGTCATCTGATATATATCGTTATATCGAACAGCCCTAGCTCAGATCCTTATTATTTGTGATGCATAATTCAAAAACCAGGCTAAAGTAGAAAATGAACATTTTTTACGTTTTTTTTGTTGTTGTTGTTGTTTCCTAAAATTTCAGAACTTTTAACTTAACCCTTACATACATGAATTTTGACAACCTCAATCAGGATTTTTTTCTTAAATAATTTTATTTATCTTTAGGCATGACAAAAAGGTGTTTGAACTTCATTTTTTTAAACATGTACTTTTTAAAGAGTTTTTTTACATGGCCAATTAGGTGGACAACATACGTTTAGACTTATGAATCGAGTATCGACTGACATATCAGTGTCCAATGTAGTAATTTATGTGCAAGTTTACCATCACCACTGACACAAATACAAGAAAACAGTCTTTGAATAGCTGTAGTGACCACTGTGCCTGAAAGGCTTAATATGCAGTTTTCAAAATGCAAATTTATGTCTTTGTTCATTTTCTTTGAATTTTAAACTCGATAATAATCAATAGTGACAGTTATTCTAATTTTATTTAAATGAATGATTCAATTTAACATAAGAAATTTATCATCTAAAATGGCAGAAATAATATATTTTCTTGTCCAACAGGCGTGTTCGGCACACTGGAGCTCTACGGACTTCCTTGCAATGTTTACCGCACCAAACTCGCCGCTACTGCTAACGCTGGATCCAACACACTGACGCTGTCGCAGTCGGTCGACTGGCAGGTCTGTGTAGTTTCCTCTAGAATGTGTTATTCCATTTTTTTATATTACGTACTGCATTCACGTGTTGGGTGTTGAAAGCTGATTGTATAACATCCAACTAAAGTCCTGAATTTGTATTCCTTGAGCAACGAAATCAATTTATTCTCCTTCTACCAGATTGTCGAGTACCTTTACTCTAATTACTTCTCATTGGAAGTGTTCACTTTTTGACACGCCTGCTTCAGGTTGGAGACGAGGTTGTAATCTCCACCAGCAGCTACACCACATGGGAGACGGAAAAACGTCAGATCACTGCCGTGTCAGCGGATGGCTTCGTCCTGACCCTGAACCAGCCTTTGACCCACACTCATATTGGTGAGTCGTAGCTCAGGACTTGAAGTTATTGTTCTGGTGTTTCTTTTACATCAGCTGAAAGGATTTGTTAGGTCTGATTATATGAAATGAAATGAAATAAAAAGCCTTTAT